GAGCCGGCGAACCAAAGGCTGCTTGCCGAAACTGGGCCCAAATGGTTCAATCCCTTAGACAGCTGGATCACGAGGGGAAACCCAGAGAAATGCCAGAGAAATGCCTCTGCAGTGCAGCCCAAGGGGGCCTCTGGGCAGGGAAACAGATCTGGAAAGCAAAGGAGCAACCTTGAATTCTTGACTGGGCTTTTCCTCACTCTGGACAGCTGTTGTCCTGGGCAGGGATGCTGACTTCCTCCCTAGTGCCAAGCCCTGGGTGTGGACTTCTTTCCTGAGCAATGGATTTGGGGGCAGTGATCCCTTGAACTAGTGGCATGCCTTGCTTTCATTTGGCTGTACAAATCGAGGAACTAACAATAATTCACTTAGTGACCATTCAAAGTTACAACGCCACTGAAAAAAGTGACTTATTACTGGTTTTCACACTTACGACCATTGAACTATCCCTGTGGTGATGTGATCAAAATTTGCTGGGTAGCTGACTCATATTTATGACGGTTGCAGTGTCCTGGGGTCACGTGATCCCCTTTTGCAACCTTCTGACAAGCAAAAACAATGGGGAAGACAGATTCACTTAACAACCATGTTACTAATTTAACAATTGTTGTGATTCACTTAACAACTATGGCAAAATGTCATAAGATGGAGCAAAACTCACTTAACAAATTTGTCGCATAGCAACATACCTTTTGGGCTCAATTGTGATCATAAATTGACCTGCAGCTTTTGCTGGGTGCTTCATTATCAGCCATCCGTGTGAAAAGCATTTGGCCCAAACAAACTAATATTCTTTGCAGTGGCAGACTCTGCAGAGCTATATTATTTTAATGAGCTGCAATACCTTTAAATTGTTATTATCTAAACAACTTTCTTATTAGAGGAGCTGGAAGAATGAATCATGCAGCTGGGGTCACAGTAGGCTTTTTAACAACAAGGCCCAAGTAGAAAGGTCAATGAAAACAGGTTTTCAGAGATTCTGGATTCCAAGGAAAATAAGGACCATACATTTTGTAATATCAATGTTGTTTAGATAGAATAATAAAACCTTGAGGGGATGGCCTTTAATTCCCTGCAGAATTCTAGGGTAAGGTTAGATAGGGATTGTCTGATGAAAGATAGCAATGGCAGTAGCATTTAGGCTTATATACCACCCAATAGTATTTTACAGCACTCTCTGGGTGGTTTAAAATGTCAGTAGCACATTGTCCCCAATGATCTGGGTGCTCCTTTTACTGATCTTGGAAGGATGGAAGCCTGAGTCAACCTTGAAGCTCATCAGGATCAAACTCCAGACTGTCGGCAGAGTTAGCCTGCAATACTGGAACCACTAGGGCTCTATATAGGTTGTGTTTGTGAAGGGGGGAGGTTAATTCTAGCACATGGTAGGAAAAAGCAGAATAACAGAATTGGAAGGGACATTGGAGATCTTTTAGTCCAACCTCTTGCACAAGCAGGAAATACTATGCCATTCCATATAAGTGGTTGAGATCAACAGAGTGGTCGAATGTGTCATCGGTCTCAAGTCCTTCATGCCCACAAGAAATCTAAGTTCACTAGTTGTAATATATGCACCTAATGAAGGTCAGGGAAATTTTTATTATAGACTACATAGCATTATTCGAGAGATGGNTGCTTCTTTCAAAACTTAATGCTTTTCAACTTGCCAGTGAACTGGGGAGAGGGAAAGGAAATGCTGAGAATGTATGTGGAGATCGTGAGAGCATGGAAACCAGGGGTGGGTTCCTCCCGGTTCGCACCGGTTCGCACGAACCGGTTCGTCGGTGAACCTGGAAGTAATTAACTTCCGGGAACGCCGGTACCGGTCCTGGCCCCTGTCGCTGCAAAGCGCCCTTTTGCCGGTGCGTCACAGCTCACTTGCTCATTCCCCTGCCCATCTGCAGCTTGCTCCCTCACTCCCCTGCCCATCCGCACTAAGCCCAGCCTGCCACTCACTGATTGGCTGGAGTCCAACCAATCAGTGAGCGGGCTGGAGGCGAAGCAAAGCATTTTTTGTGCTTGACCTCCATTTGAAAATTCCCTTCGGCCTTTGCTTGCTGCTTCCCCCTCAGGTAAGCAACAAAGCCCCAGCTGTGGGACTCGGGAGGCTTCGGGTGGGTGGCGGCAGCCCAGCTTTCGTGAGGGAAGGCCTCTAGGCCTTCGCTCAGGAAAGCTGCGGGCTCGCGTGCACTACGCGGCCGAAGCTGGGTGGGGGCGGTGGCAGTAGCAGCGGCGGCATTAGTGGCAGCAGCGGTAGCGGCGGCGGCGGTAGCGGCTGAAGAGGGGGGGCAGCCTAGCTTTCGCGAGCTAGGCTCGCGTGCACTACGTGGCCGAAGCTGGGGGGGCGGTGTTAGTGGCGGCATTAGCGGCGGCGGTGGCAGTGGCGGCGGCAGCAGAGGCGGCAGTAGCGGCTGAAATGTTAGCAGCGGCGGCGTTAGTGGCTGAAGCGTTAGCGGCAGCGTTAGCGGCTGAAGCATTAGTGGCAGCGGCGGCATTAGCGGCAGCGGTATTAGCCGTAGTGGCTGAAGGGGGCTTTTGCAAGCTAGGCTCGCGTGCACTACGTGGCCGAAGCTGGGGGGGCTGTGTTAGCGGCTGCGTTAGCGGAGGCGGCGTTAGCGGCTGAAGCGTTAGTGGCTGAAGCGTTAGTGGCGGCAGCATCAGTGTCAGTGACGGCGGCAGCGGCGGCGGCATTAGCGGCGGCGGTGTTAGCGGCGGCGGTGTTAGCGGCGGCGGTGTTAGCGGCAGCAGTAGTGCCGGCGTTAGCGGCAGCAGTAGTGGTGGCGGCGGTAGCGGCTGAAGTGGGGGGGGCAGCGGCCTAGCTTTCGTGAGGGAAGGCCTCCAGGCCTTCCCTTGCAAAAGCTGCAGGCTCGCGTGCACTATGCGGTCGAAGGCGGGGGGGCGGCATTAGCTGTGGCGGCGTTAGCAGCAGCAGCAGCGGTGGCGGCGGTAGTGGTGGCGGCGGTAGCGACGACGGCGGTAGCGACGGCGGAGGCGGCATTAGCAAGCCACTCCCATCCGGTCACATGGGTAGCAAGCCACTCCCACAAAGGAGGCCATGCCCACAGAGTAGGTTCGAACAATTTTTGAAACCCACCCCTGATGGAAACCATCAAGGTCACTGCAGGTGCTTGAGAAGGAGTGGGCTGTTCCCATAACAAAAGAATGTCTCATAATTGGACAATGTGATCACCCAGGGGTGGGGAGGAAACTATGGTTTAACATGGCAAGCATTTGCACGGGAAAACCAGAACTGGTTTTGTTTCTTCAGTACCAATATGGTGTATCCAATAAAGTTTTACTTTTGGGAATTCATATGTATGTCCTGAGAATGTTTCCTTGTTTGTGTTCACTAGTCGGACAGTTGACAGGGGAGTTATTGAGAGTCACAGCTGCCTTCTTGACTTTTTTGACATCCTTCCCCCATGAATGGAGTTGCAGATGATGCTGAAAGTAATAGTTTAACATGATAGCTTGGTTTTCACAACCTGTGGCCAAAGAGCAGTGCTGAACTGCAACAAACCAACCCCCTCCAATCCTTTCAGCCTCATTGAGCAATTTGACTGACATCATCCCTCCCATCTCCCTCTTCAGTTCAAGACTAATGAGAAATGAGCAGGGCCCAGCAGTGCCAGCAGAAGGCTGAACTCACCAAGGGGCAGGGCAGCCTGAGACTGAAGGGCTTCATTTGGGAGCTGGAGGGCAGAATGCTTCTCTCCATCTTCTAAAAATGCCAGCATTTCATGTTATTGTTTTCCCTCCCTCTGGGAGAAAGGATCATTTAGTTTTGACTTCTGATTCTCCAAAGGCCACAGGCTCAAATGGATCTGCTAGATCTGAGCACTGAGACCTCCCCCCAATCCAAAGGCTGTGCCAACACCTGCGTTTTTTCCTTTCAAAGCAATAGCAATAGCAGTAGACTTATATACCGCTTCATAGGCCTTTCAGGCCTCTCTAAGCGGTTTACAGAAAGTCAGCATATTGCCCCCAACAATCTGGGTCCTCATTTTACCCACCTCGGAAGGATGGAAGGCTGAGTCAACCCTGAGCCGGTGAGATTTGAANGAACCCTGCAGCACCTCATATGTTAGGGGCCTAGGGGTCGATCTCTGCCCTCCGACTAACACCGACTGCGACCTGTCCGAGAGGTAAGAGGAGAACCACCGTAAAACAGTGGTTGTTTTAGTTCAGCTCCAATTGTGTCATGGTTGGTTTAGTGCAACATGAACCAGCTCTTAGCCCAGCATAACAGAGAGGTTAGCTTTTTAAACTCCCATTGTTAGGTTCATTTTGCCTGGAGGTGAAGGGTTTTGGCATGGAATAAATCCCTTCTCCATCACATAATTGCTATATTTCCCTTGCTGCATGCAGACTGATGAAAGGGGATTTGCTCTAATCCCAATGACCAGGTATTTCCTCTTCCTGACATGTAAAAGATAGGAGATCCGTGACGGGCAGAACTTTATTTCTCTTCGTCTCTAAAGAAAATGTCTTTTCTTCCCAGAACTTGGTGTTACTTCCATTGTAGCCTCCTTCCTAAGCTTTTAAAATACAGAACACAGAATAGCAGAGTTGGAAAGGCCCTAAGCTTTACTCACAACTCCAAGAGGCAAGCTCTTCATGGACTAATTGTTCCTTATTTCCAAGTTGGGTCTCTCTTTAACAAGCTTCCACCGTCACTTCTTCTCCTACCCTCAGGAACATAAGAGAAAAACCCCTCAGCTCTGTGAGTGGCCCTCAAGTACTGGAATTAGAGCTGCTACACAGTTGTTCTAATTTTATTATAAGGTTACATGAACTGAAACTTCCAGGCTTGAAAGTGCATCTGTCTTCCCTTCTCCTTTTATCCTAAGAAACCAGGGAGGGTTCCTTCTGGAACGTTTGCCGTCTCCCTTTTCCTTCAGCTGTCTCTTATCTTACCATTGTCCAGTCTACGGCTCTGGTCACCCAGGTCATTCCCACGGACCATTTCATGTGGCAAAAAAGATGCTCTTTCTTTGTTTCAGATGGATTAAGTTTGAAGAGAAGGTGGAAGAAGGAGGGGAGCGATGGAGTAAACCTCATGTATCAACTCTGACTTTGCATAGCTTGTTTGAACTGCGCACTTGCCTACAGATGGGAACCATCCTGTTAGATCTTGATGGCTACTTCCTGCCACAAATCATAGGTAAGGTAAGATCTGCAAAGATTTGAAATGAAAGGCTCAACCCATCCAAACCCCGCTTCATTAAATTACAAGGGCCTGCCAAAGTGCTTTCCAAGAGTACTATGACATATAGGAGTCAGGTGCAGAGAATGCTCTGTCAGTCTTACTGAGAGCTCAGGTGTTAAGGGTGTCATTTGAAGAACTCTGTGTCCAAGATGATAGGAATGCTCTCTGTGTGATGACCTATTCATGTGCAGAAGTCATGGCTTCAGGAGCATGGGGTATGTTGTAATGCCTGCATCCTTGTAAGGATGATTGTCACAATCCTTCTGTATTCATATCCAATGCTTCCAAAGACATTAGAGTCCTGCTTAATCTGGGGCATATGGGGTTCAACCAGGGTTTAACAAGTGCATAACCTTCTTAGATGATCTATAAAGTCCCTTCCAGCTCAGGAAATTCCTAGGATCCAGGGCTATCATCCTCATCGCTGCCTGGCAGAATTCTTTGGAGGATACACTTATTTCTAGCACATGTTGTAGGTCTGTGACCATTATTGCCTTACAGGATCCTATTGGAGGGCAATCCACATCTTACACCAGAGTAACATGGTAGCTCTTTTAATACACGGATGGGACTGAAAGTGGCAGAAGAGATAGGATGGTCCTGCTGGTCATGATGGCCTGAGCCGCTACAGCCTTCGTCTTGCCCTGTTCTTTTAATGACTTGTTATTTACATGCTTGACTTGCTATTCTGTCCATACATGTGACTGAACACGGGTTTAAAGCCTCACTGTGATGGGGAAAGCTCCACAAGTTTTACACCTGGCTGTGAACACACTGATTTTGGACCTCCTTCTAGAATGTAAAAAGAGGAGAGGTGGGTGGTTGGGAGAATGCGGTGGGAGGGAGGAAACAAGGCAGGAGAAATCCACAAACTCCAGCTTCCTTGCATAGAGTTTTCGAAGACTTAAAGGTATCTGTCAGCCTCTGTTTTGCTGCTTGCTTTCGGCTGCCATTGAAACGGGGAGGGGGGCATAGTATTTGGGTGGGGGAGTGTTCAGTGCAGGAGTGACTGTAAAAAGGGAGTTGTTCTCACCATCTACTGCGCATATTGCAGAGAGAGGATTTGCCAACAAGGCCAACTGTCCGGCATACCAGCCTGATGATGCTTTTTGAAGATGTCTCCCATATGACACCTATGGGGTGTACAGATTGGACTATGGGATGTGGTTACCAAGGGGAGGGGGTTGAGTCACATATTGATATCTATGATTATGCATGCTTTTGCCTCAGATCTTGCTTTGCCTAGCTACTATCTACTCATGACTAGTAAAAGTACTCTTAATTCTGCAAAATGAAGTTGAGTGGTTTCTTTCTTGGTTATTGAGGGAGGCCGCCATGACAGTATCATTTCATTCTAGTGCCTGAATCAAATCATAGGAAAAGTTGAAAGACCCTCAAGCTAGCATTTGCTGTTATCATACATACCCTGTATAACAATATGGCATTCAAAATTTGCAGTCTTTATTTGAGCATGAATATATTAGATAAGATCATATTCTCAATCCAATTTTTACATAAATAGTGAGCTGATATGTTTCAATAACATTCAGGGTGAACATCTTTAAGGAGTTCATCTATCCACTTGCTCTCATGTTGTGGCTCATTCAGTTTTTAGCAACCATTTTTCAGGACCCTCTTGATGCCTCATGGACACAAGGACAAGCACGCATGGTCTCTCTTGGGACCGTGGTGTGGTCCATACAGTAGTTCAGTTGTGATTAAGAAAATTCCCCTTTCTAACAGGACTTGCATTTCTAACATTAATTGAGAAATATTAGACCGTGGAAATGAGCCATCCTGAAAAAAATTCCAGCACTTAGATTACCTCCTTCCCACTCACTTTTAGTGCCATATTATAGATAGGACCCCCCCCCCCCCCCCCCCCCCAAGCCAGCATATACTGAATGTGGAGGACAATCAGACCTTCCCAAAGTTCACGGTAATGAAACTATAGCATACAGCATCTACAATGTCTCTTATACAACCCGAGGTCCTTAATTTTGGCATTTTACTTTGGGCTCAGCCATTTATGCTCCAAGAAAATGTACAGGATGAAATCATCGTAGAATCCTAGGGCTGGAAAGGACTTTGGAGGTCTTGTTTGCTCAACGCAGGAGACCTTATACCACCTGGACAAATAGTTGTACAAAGTTTTCTAGTAAACCTCCAACAATGGAGCACCTTCAAGCTGTTGCTTTGGTTGATTATTCTCACTGTCAGGTTTCTTTAGTTTGAGGCTGGATCTCCCTTTGATGAGCTTGGAACCATTTCTTCTTCTCCTGTCCCTAGGTGCTATGGAGAACAAATTCGCCCCCTCTTTCCTATGACAGCCTTCAAGTATTAGAAGATAGTTAGTTATTGTGTTACCCCTAAACCTTCTCCATTAGGCTAAACATAGCTAATTTCCTTAACTATTCATCATATAATTTGGCTTCAAGATTACTTATCATCTTTGTTGCAACTGTACCAGCTGTAACTTTTGAATGTTTTTCAGGGGTAGCCTTATGGTGCCTTACCGGATTTTCCTCTCATGGATTTGAGTTCATTGATGTATGCATTTTGTGTTATCATCATCTGATATCATAGTTATGTTTTTATATAACTTTTAAGTCAATAACTGAAGACATTTGAAAAAGCGTGTAGCTTTTACTTTACTGCTCGTTCGGAGATTGAAAAATATCTTGATGAATTGTGTTGGGCAACCGTTTGCAGTCTCTGAGTAGCAAGCCAGCGTCGTCCCCAGAAGGCGCCTTGAAAGACATGGGCAGAATCCCTTCATTTCAGCAGCAGTTCAGGAGAGACATGGGTTCTTACCAGTTCGGACTCCTCAAATCTCCTCAAAGAAAAATTAGCATGGAGAAAATAATTAAGTCTATTACCTTGAATCCATCTGGTCTGGAAATTCAAGAGTCATCCAGGACTGACAAAAGTTGGGAATATTTTGCCTGAACATCATCAATAATATAATCTATGTTTTCCAGATAATGTCATTGAAAAACAAATAGAAGATGGCCTTCTAAAGCCAGAGCTGCGAGATAAAATAAGCTATGTGCTGCTGAGAAAGCACCGACATCAGATGAAGAAATCCATTCACCGATCCTTGGCAGATATTGGCAAATCTGTCTCAAGCATAAGTGAGTGAAACTACCAGAGTACCATTTTTGGCAAAGCAGGGAAGAAGTGGCAGCTAAAGGGAAGTCTTGAGTTTCTGCTTATGGGCTTCTGCTTATGGGCTTCTTTTGCTGCCACAAATTTTGCTGTCCTGAAGGACAGCAAAAATGGGGAGGTGATATGGCTCTGATCAATACTGGGTAAAAAGTAAAAAAAAAGTTTTTTGGCAGCAGCCAAAAAAGCTAATACAATCCTTGGTTGTATAAGAGGCATAGAATCAAAATCATGTGAAATATTACTACCACTTTATAAAGCCTTAGTAAGGCCTCATCTGGAATCCTGTATCCATTTGGTCACCATATTACAAAAAAGATGTTGAGACTTTGGAAAAAATGCAAAGAAGAATAAATAAGATGATTAAAAAACAGCTGCAGGATTTGGGTATGGCTAGTCTAGAGAAAAGAAGGACTAGGGGTGATATGATAGCAGAAGGACTAGGGGTGATATGCACATAGCATTATGGGTGTGGCACACCCATGCATTGTTTCTTCAGTGGTTTGGGCTCTTGCTTGGTACCAAAAGTCCAATGTTTCACTAGCTGATCATATTTATTGAAGTTGTGGGCTTTGATAGGTTCATCCTCATGATGTTTCTGCCTGCCAACAGATCGTAGCCCTGTCCAGAGTCCAGCTACAGGAGCTGGCTTTTATCGTTCTTCTGAAGACCTCAGAATAAGACAAAACTCAACTTATGGAAGATTACGTAAGTTTCATGTTAGTTCTGCCGTTACAGATCAAATACTATAGGAGGAACTATTCATTTCCTCACCACCTGATATAATAATGGAAAGTATTGAACAGATGGAGTTGAAGTAGCACCAAATCCAAGGGTAGTGATTGATGCAGAGCAGGGGTGAAATGCTACCGGTTCGGACCGGTTCGCCTGAACCAGTAGTAAAAATGTTACTGGTTCGCCCAAACTAATAGTAAAAAGAAATGAACTACAAACTTTCAGATGATCAGCTGTGATGCACGATTTATATTAGCTAGAAAGCAGGATTTCCTTCTTTCTAGCTAATCTAAATCGTGTGGTTCAGCGGATTCCTCTACCCGCTCGCTGTTCACTTACCTTACCTTTTTGAAGCTCTGTGCATGCGCAGGTGGTTCTGCGCATTTGTGGAGGTGGTGCTTGCAAAGGTAAGTGGATTTCACCCTTGATGCAGAGGTAAATAAACTAGGAAATCATTTAGAATTTTCCTGTAAATGTGTTTTTATTTTCCATTTTCATTTTTGTACAGTCATATATATACTGTGCATAACCGGGGTCATATAACATTAAACAATAAACACAGCACACCATCATGATTCCTTGGGCAGTGCAAAGATGATGATATCTTCACGTCAAGTGTGGTTCCTAAT